GCAGGTGAGAAACAAGATTTTCTCTCTTTGCTGTTCCTTCTTCATTTGGTTTTAAAAGTGTTTAGCCCTGATGTCTACAAAGGCCAGACACAGGGCTAGTATCGTCATTGCTTTTACAGTGATCCATCAAACTTCACATTCTCTCTGACCACAAGGGAGGATAGAGAAGAGATTAAAAGAGAGACTGATTTTAGAAGAACAAATCGGAGCTGTCTGGAGAGGACAAGATCATAAGTAGTGAGAGCCATATCACTAAAGGTATCCAAGCACAGGGAAGCTGAAGGAAACTCTGCTTGGGTTGGTTCTACACTGAAAAATAGCTTTGCTGTTTGTAATCTTCCAGGGACTAGTCTACTGACCGGTACTTTGGGATTCCAGTGAGACAGAATCTGGGATCCATGTCTCCCTCCTCTAAGTGGAGGAGATTGTGTGGGAGAGGGGCGGGTGTGTTTTGTGCAAGGGTTTGGTACCGAGTGCCAATTGCACTTCACCAAATAAGTCTCGCTCGGCCTTTGTCAGCGCTCAGTCTGCCTGTGAATCTGTCTGGAATCCATTCCCCACAGTGCCATCTGTTCATGATTGTCCTACCATCTGACCATTTACCCTTTGTTAACTCTCCTCCTCTGGGCACCCCCACTGCCAGTTGGAGTCCACCCATTGTCCAACCTGGAAAAACTGAGTCTGAAGAGAGACAGGACAGGAGAGGGGGGCAGGGACGTTCCAGCAGGATGGCATTGGAGATGGAGATACATTTGGGGGTGGGGGTGCTGTTGTGCCTTTGCACAGAACCTGGGGAGAGAGCATGCGGCCAAGTCAGAGCCATATTGTACCCAGGCAGTCTGATGGCTTCACAAATAATATTGATGGCTTTTGTTTGGAAACTTTTGTGAAGGTTTCCCATTTCCCAACAAACCACGCTAAATGCTGGGCCTCCCCCAAGCCACTTGCCTTTTGCATGGTCCCATGGCCAACTGTGCAGGCAGATGAGGCCCCTCAATGCTAATGAGGGGAATGGCTGGCATTCCGGAGGCACCCAGGCTCTGGGCACCCCGCCTTTGTTGCTAAGGAGCATTGGAACTGTAGCTGAAAGGCTCTTACAAGAGGGGGAGTGAGGAGAGAGAGGGAAGAAAGACATGCATTTGTTTTCAGAGCCTCACAGTTCTCAGGCCAACTCCAAAGCTGTCCAATTTCTGATCCCAATTAGAATACCAACCCCCTGCTATTGTTTCTCTTAATGATCTTGGGAAATTCCTCTGAAGAGTCAGCAGCGAGCACTTAGCAAACTCTTTGGACTGTGCCATCTCTACCGAGGTGCTTCTGGTTACATGAATAGATCATCAAAGCATTCTGAAGGCATCTTTTATTCCAGCAACCAGATGTGGCACAGGAGCTGGGAGAATTGGAAGAGGACAGAAAGGTAGCAGGGTTTTCAAAAGGTTCCTGTGGGAACTCCATTCAACAGGCGTTTACCAGGTGTGCTCTTGGTGCAGAATCCAGGTTCTATGCTGGGTGACTGACGGAGAGGAAGATCTTGACTCCAGCTTGTATTTACCTCCAGACTTGAGGGAGAGATAGATCATACTAATGAGAATTCTGTGGGTTATTTGCTTTAACTGTGACCTTCATGGTGGTATTGGACTCTGAGTCCTGCACAGCTGGGTTTTAATCTTGGCTCAGTCACTCACTAGCCATTAGATCATGGGCAACCACATCTGTTACTGTGAACCTCAGTTTCTCATCTGTACAATGGTCAGAGTAGCACCAACCTAGTTTGTTTACTATGAGGAGTAAGTGCAGGTAGGAGAATGAAGAACAGGAATGTGGGAAACTCTCTGATCTCTGGGACCCCATAGTCAATGAGCTATATGTTGGTTGGAAGGTGTCTGTACCTGGAAAATGCACTTAATGATTTGGCACATTGAATGGGGTAAAAAGTGAAATACCACGTAAGAATAAAATACACTAGACTCTCACTATGGGCATGTCCATGTGCCAGTTACAGTGCTAGGCAATTTGCATGCATTATCTCATTTGATATTAGTGGTGCTCTTGGGTAGTTAGTGAATTGCTCAGGGTTACACAGTGGGAAAGTCTGCCTACCTGTGAGTTCCTTTCTCTGTCCTCTTTCTGTGCTTTTTCCATCTTTAAAGGCTGAGGCTCTTGGAAGATTAATGCACACACAGTTCATTCTGTGTCTCTCCAGGGCCTGCTGTAGGTTAGCAAGGCCACTGCATGCAAACCCCTATTTGAGAAAGTTCTGCCAGAGGTAGCTGATGAAGCCCCAAGATTCCAGACTTTCCTACCCAGCATTTATTAGAAGCTCACAATGACACAGCCATGGGGAGTATACAAAGTTCCACTTATCTGAGAAACAAAAGATATAATATGGATTTTTTCATAAGCAAACCCACAAAGTCCCAGCATAGAAGTCACAGTGACTAAAGCATAATGACTTCATAACATGCTCCTGTTTGGGACAGTGGTTTGCTTCATAGCCAGGCCTCATATAACCTCAGTTGTCACATTGTCCCTTGATAGCTACAGTTTTCTCTGTGACTTAAATAATTAAATAATTTTGGTTCTTTTAATGTTTACTCAGAGGAAAAAGGAATGAGTACGTACTTTAGCAATGTGTAAGTCTTGCAAATGTGCATGCACATACACACTGACAAAGATTCTCTTCTTGACTAAAGTCTGCTCACCTTACTTCCCCCCCTGGTGGGGTCTGATCATCCTGGCCTGGCTTCAGCAGATATCCTGTCAGGTAGTTTTAGTTGGAATCCCCTCTCACAACTGATGCTTCATCTTAGTAATTTTCCATACAACAATCCCTGTGCCCTGCTTCTCATGTCTATAGATTTTCACTTTTCTTTGTTTTATTTGGAATTGAGCCCAGTATTTCTTCCCAACTGTAGACGCTGTTGCAGTAGTCCCTATACCTATTGTGATAGTTCTGAATAAAAGCTGATTTACCATTTTCACAAGTGTCAGAATGTGTTTTGCTTAACTCACATACACATATACACCTGCACACACACATGGGGATAAAGCAGTGGAGAATTCTAGACAGGAGATGATTCAAAAGCAATTGTCACTTGGAAATAGAAGGACAGGATACATCTCAAAATGTGTTTTTGCAATAGTAGTGGTCTGGTCTCTCTAGGACTTTTCACACAGACAATTGTTCAAAGTTTTTTGAACCTTCCTGAATGTTCAGCCACTAAAGAAAGGTACATCCAGGGTCTGGGAGTATAATTCAATGATAGAGTAACATACATGCATACACAAAAGAAAAGAATGGCATGTCTACACTACAAGGAAGTGTCCAAATGGCATTGCTTTCAGTGTTTATAATCCTCCTGAGAACAGGGGTTAACAACTCCCTTTTTATAGATGAAGAAGCTAAAGTTCAGGGAGACCAGCAACTTGCTGAGGCTTCTAGCTCCTAAGTGCAAAGTGCAGGATATGGGCTGTTATCAGGCCTATTTTTTTTTTTTTTTCTGTTTGCTGTGGAAGTACAGCTGGCAATGGGTCACTGAGGATCACAGTCTGGCCGCGGCTGTCCGGCTTATAGAAATAGTCATTTAGCCATCACTTTGGGATTATAGGTCATCAAATGTAGTCAGAGCTTGTGCTGCATTCCATGTAAGTGGAATGCCCTCCATTTGTGCAGCTCGGTGGTGCTGAGGCCAAAGAGCAGCAACTGTATTTATGTTGGACATAAAGAATTGGGCAGGGTAAAATCACCACTTTTGAGGACCTTCTGAGTTAGTTTAATAACTCTGATTTCATGTTTAGGGCCTCCCTTGACTCCGACTGCCTATCCAGCCCACTTTCCTCGGACATGAAGCTGGTACCAAGTCATGCTTAGGTTGCCCTCTTCCAGTGCTCCCCAGGCTCTCTTCCTCTGCAGACTATTAACTGGCATAATTAAACAGCTTTCTTACCTTTCTCTTCTCTGGGTCTCTGTTTCCTCATCAGTGAAATGAGGCTGTAAAAATCTGTCTTATTGAGTTGTCAGAATTGGAGGAAACAAAATACATCAAGTTCCTGGCACACAGTAGTTGCCCAGTGTATATTAAATTGCTTGACCTAGTATTCTAATTTTTCTCACTTGGCATTTTTGTAGAATGTGAAAGTCATGTCTGTTTACTTACTCTTCTGACCTAAAAACAGTGAGCAGGTCCAAGGATTCTAGAATGATAGGAGAGTGATCAATGCATCTCAAGAGACATTTTTATGGACAATGCAAGGATTATAAAAACTAACGCATTTATTTTAGTGAGTTCAAATGGTTTTGTTCTTGAAATTTTGTTAGTAGGTTGCTCATGACACCACTATTTAAAGTGGATAAAGGGAGAAGCTCAGAGACTTTTCTGTTTGATTTTTCTCCTTGACTTAACTCGTCCTCCTCTCCCCCATATTGATTTGAAGATCAGTATCCAGGTCCCACTGAGTTAGTGATGAGCTGAGGCAACTTGTTTTTGAAGTCCCAAGCTGGTGTTCCTTCAACAACCCCTAGCTACCTGTGATGTGGGTTACATGGGTGGGGGATAGTTCTGGGGAATGTTCAGGATAGAACTATGAGAACTGGTAGAATGTTTCACCTGGTTTTCCTGACTCAGGAGAGCAGAAGAGGTTACCTATTCTCAGAAACTTTTGTCTCAGGAGTCCTTTCTCAACCCTTCTAACCATGACTCTTGGAAATATCCCTAGAGACAACATTATATTATCTAGTTTTGCACTGTAGAAGATACTGTGCTTGTTCAGAAAGCCTTGCTTGAAGTTATTCTTCTGCTTAGTATTAAGATAATGTTAGTATGTTCTTCTTAGAATAGCTTCTAGGGTAGGGCCTATTTATCCATGCAAAAAATGATGTACTTATGTCTACTATGCACCAGGTGCTTCAGGGAATCAATTACATCTGGCATGTATTTTTTTGCTATACGGAGCAGTGAGGTTTGCAAAAACAGTTTGATGACCAATGTCGAAAAATATCATACATGTCATATTAATAAGTTTTATTATATGAGCATCTTAAGTAGTTGGGTTCTTGCCACATCAGAACAGAAAACCTGGTTTTCTCTGATCATGCAGAACTGCACGTGAGCAAGCATCAAAAACCAGAATCCAAGAGCTGGTCAAAAGCATCTACCATAGCTGCAATGGCCTCAACTCCTAGAAAGCCTTCACCATTGCTCTCAGGCTGGGGAGAAAGATGTGTCTGGGTAAGAAGGGAGATAAGAGAAACATCTGTTCACACAATATGGGCTTGCTATCATAGCTCCTTTAAGTACCGCAGTGCTGGCTCCAAGAGCATATTTTCTCCAGAACGGAATCTCCGCAAGGCCTGGTCGATTTTCCGAGGGCTCAGGGACAGGTTGTAAATGAGATTGTAGTTGTGAATGAGGCGTCTGGCTCGTTCCTTCTCCAGAACTCCTGTGATTGGATTGGAATGGGTGGAGGTTTTTTTTAAAGAGGAAGAGGAGAACAGAGAAAGATATACATTAACTTGAATAACTTGTAGGTAGACACTAAATGCTAGTATTTTGAAACCATAAGCCTCTTAAAAATCAAGTGACACCTTAAAAACTATTTATATTCCTGGATATGCATGGGTACTGTCCTTGGGAACAGAGAGGACTAGAGAAATGATGTTACCTCTGGAAACTTCCTGATCTGGAAGACAAGTTATGCAGACAGTAAACATCATGACTGATATTTATATATAGAACTTTCTGGGTTCCAAGCACTGTTCCAAACAGTTTTTTCCAATATTGACTCATTGAAACCTCACAACCACCCATTTCACAAAGGGAAAAACTGAGGCCTAGAGTGACAAAGTCACTTGCCTAAGGTTGCTCAAGGTTAACCACTACACCACACTATGGAATGAGAGAGAAGAGATTGCTTCCTAAATACATTTCTTGAACTGTGAAGATTTATGATACAAGTGTTAATGAAAAGATTTTAAATACCTTTTATAGGAATGAAAAGTACATCCCTTGCATGTTTCTCTTCTATTCCCTTTACCTGTACAGACTGTTATAAGTGATTGCAAAATTCTTCCTCAAACAATCCAGAGGCAGTGCCGTGGTCACTTTGTAGCAAGGCATTGTTAGCCCAGTTGACATGGGCAGTGGTGAAGGCTGTCATCCCAATTTAAGTTACCAAGTACTATTCATATTTTCATGTGCCAGGACTGCTGGGCTTAAACCTCCCCTCTCAATTACTCGCAGGGGTTATTTCTTTCTTTCGTTTGTAGTACTAGGGGGTTGAACCCAGGGCCTTGGACTTGCTAGGCAAGTGCTTACCACTGAGCTGCATCCACAGCCCTTTTTTATTTTCATTTTATAACAGGGTCTGGCTGAGTTGCCATAGTTGGACTCAAAGTTGTGATCTTCCTGCCTCTATCTCCTAAGTAGCTAGGATTACAGGCATATGTCACAGTGCCCAGCTTCTAATGGGTATTCTTTTTTTTTTTTTTAGAGAGAGAGAGAGAGAATTTTTAATATTCATTTTTTAGTTTTCGGCGGACACATCTTTGTTTGTATGTGGTGCTGAGGATCGAACCCAGGCCGCACGCATGCCAGGCGAGCGCGCTACCGCTTAAGCCACATCCCCAGCCCCATAATGGGTATTCTTAACAGTGGGCTACAGAGTGGTAGTTCTAATGTCACCCATTCTGTTCTATTCATTCCATTCCAGTTTACTGTCCAGTCTGTTTTGATTTGTGTGTTGACTATTTAGCCTATTTGAATGTCCTAGACTATTTGAATCTCCTTCTTTGTATAGGCCAATGCTACAAAATGAACAAGGCACTGCCTCTGGATTCTTTGAGAAAGAATGTTATAATTGCTCTTAATAGTCTGTACAGGCAAAGGGGGTGGGGAAGAGCAAAACTCAAGTGATGTATTTTTTGTCCCTATAAAAGATATTTAAAAGATTTTCATTGACACCTGCAATATGCATCTTCACATTTCAGGGAATATATTTAGGAATCAATATGACCCAAACTTTGAATAATCTCTTTTCTCTTTGGAATTCTCTGGAATGGTTGGCTATTTCCAATTCTGCTTAGGTTTGTTCCTTCCAGACATTTTCTATACTCTTCCTCTGGAAATGTAAGGCTATGGAGGAAGTTTCTGACTGTAAGACCTTAGAGAAGTTACTTTGATGTTTGAGCCTCATTTCCTCAATGTTAAAATAGGGATAATTAAAATTTGTGAAATCCAATAAAATATTAACTTCTTAGTATATGTCCATATTAATAAGATTTATTGATGGCAAATACCATATAGGATAATTATAATAATGATATCAATACTAGTTAAAGCACAGAAGATGAATTTTGATATGAAAAAGTTACTAGAATATGTAACATGCAGTTTGTATTTTAATTAAAAAATGAAAAGTTCCATGTCAGAATCACGGTGGTATTTTTCTACCTTCTAAGCTTTGCCATTGGTAAAAGATTGCTAGTGTCAAACCAAAGTCCACTCAGAAATTTTTCTCTCTCCATTCTGTCATTAGAGGATGGCCAGAATGGCTGCATAAAATGTCACCTTCAATTCATCTCAGTGTCCGAAAGCTATCCTTTCTCAGCCAGACACAAAATGAAAGAGTTAACAAGAAGAACCTCTTCAATATCCACTTTGTTTTAAAATTTATAAAGAACTTTCTATTTTTTTTTCTCTCTCACTTGAGCCTTTCTCAAATCTGGGAGGTATGTTTTATTTTTATCAGTTCTAATTTATAGATAAGAAAATAGGTTCCGAGTAAGTGACTAGTTTTCAGGGCTCGACAATTGGTGGAGCCTGGTCTTGAATTTTAATCTTCTGATGAAAGAAAAATAAGCGAATCCTCATGTTCTTTCCAGCACATCATGAAAGCTGGCTGTAGCGGGAAGTCACAGAGAGCTGGGTTTGAATTATGGCTCAACTTCCTAGTGGCTATGATTTTATCACGTTAAGCTTGAGTTCCTCCTCTGTAAATAAGAGTGCTAATCCCTTCAGCATGTGTTAGATGTGAGAATTTAGCCATGAAGTGTGTGCACAGTGCAAGCCCATGCCGAGAATGTCCTTTAAGGCATTCTGCCTCCTTGAACTTTAAAATATTTTCTATGTAGCCTTTGGTTCTCTGGGCAAATTCCAAGTGCACCATTTGCTCAGACATTTATCCCAACCACTCTTCTTTCTTTAGAAAAAAAAAAAGACCAGTTATTCATAGTCATTCCTTATTCCTTCTCCTCAAGGCTATTTTCTTGACAAACCCCATTAGAGAATAAGCTTGGTAGGTTCCCAGAAACACTGATTTGATGATGGATGGTCTGTCTTCATCCTGGATGAAGAACACTCTGGCCTACATATTTCCTTGCACATAATAAAGAACAGTGATTCATCTGTGGGCAAAGTAGGTGTCATCTGCTCAACATGTAGAAGGGGCCGAGTGGTCTGCTAAACCCTGCGGCCAGTAAACCAGCAGAATGACCTCAGTTAATCCTCCTTCCTCATTAAAGACAGTTGTAGATGATCCCAGATTGGGCTGACACATTCCTTGGCTGTTGAGGAACTAATGAATTTCATAGAAACAGGGAAAACAGGCATAAATAGTGAAGAGGCCATGAGAAAGGCATTTCAAAGCTGTTGGAATCCGTCTCCAAAGTCAACAAAGCTCGGCTTTTCCTCAGAACCATTCTGTTCCTATGAGAAAGGTCCCAATCTCTGGGGAGCCTCTCAGCAGCTAAGTTTATGATACATCATCGGTCATCATGAACTCAGCATTTATGTCTTTAGCAATGGGTTTTCTATCTGCTCAGGTTTTGGTTTTGATTTTTAATTTTTGTTTTTTGTTTGGAACCCATAGCTACTCTCACAGTCCTGATGTGAATACACAGACTTGGAGTTCTGTCAATAACCTTCTAATCTTTTCTCCAGATTTTTCCCTAAATAATCCATCTCAGCCTTCATGATGTCCTCCTCGGGTTGAACCTTGGTAGATGCTGGCTGGAGCAGAAAGCCTTTTCCTGCCCTTGGGATTCAGAGCAGGATCTCAGCTTTCCTAGGGATCCAACATCAACCTCCAGGCTTGTCTTGCTCCATGCCTTTCCCCATCACAATCCTTCCCAACTCCTAACTTTTGCAGAAGATGGGTTCAAAGTCAGAATGGCTTGCCTGAGTCCCCAGAGTTTCCCTTGCCTCATATCTCAGCTCTAGCTTTCTTTTCCAAGGAGCACTTTCTGATATCCAAACTCACATTAGATGGTGGCCTTTTATCTCTTTTCTATTTCCTTTTGAATCTCAACATTTTAAATTGACATAAAAATTGTATATATTTATGGCATAACCTGTGACACTTTGATAAATGTATACACTGTATAATGTTCAAATCAGGGTAAGCATATCTATGTCCTCAAACATATTTCATTTCTTCATGGTAAAAAGATTAAGGAGCCTTTATTTTAGCTTTTTTGAAACACACAGTACATTATTGCTATCTCTAGTCACCCTACAGTGCAGTAGCACACAGGAAACTTCTTTCTCCTAACTCTGACTTGGTAGCTGTTGTCTTTCTTTTGATTATTGAGCACTCATTTGTGCTCTCAATTATAACAATTTATGATATGCTATTCTTTTTTTTCTTCCTTTCCTTTCTCTCTTTTATATTTTACTGGTGTTAAACTATTACCAGTCTCTGTGTCTTACCTAAAAGTTAGATCTTTGAGGCCAAAGACCATGTCTCATCTTTTCTGGTTTTCCTCTTGGTCCAGCTTCTACCACACTACTGGGCTCATTTTAATAAATACTTTTATAATCCTAGATACAAGTATTTATTAAAATAATAATGCTAGATCAAGCATTCATTTAAAGCTTTCAGTGTCTTTTTCTGTCTTTGTTATAATTACTAAATATCCGTTAAACTTCATGTGATCTAGAATTAAATTGCTTTGGAAACTCAAAAACAAAATAAAACCAAACGAGAAAGAACAAGAAGGGAAAAAAATGAACACACACAAAGAAAATGAAGTCATTGCTTTTGCTATATGGTTACTTCCGGAGAGTGCTAATGTGAATGACAGCTCTTCCCTAGGCATGCTCTGTAATGAAGAGGGGTGGTTTTGTCCACGTGCTTTAGTGTCTGCTCCCTCTTCCCTATTCTGGAAGTCTCTGGCCTCGTTCTTGACTTCATTCTCTCTCACTGAGACATGGCACTGACTTCCTTTCTGCTTGACTATATTTCATTTTCTCCATTCTACCTATAGGCATAAAGAATCTTTCTGAATTACAGATTCATCAAACCACTCCTCTGCTTAGAAAGGTTCAGTCCTAAACACTACTTTTGAATTAAGTCTCAGTTTTGTGGTCTGGCATTTTAAACCACTGAATATATGGCCCCAGTCTGTTTCCATCTTTAACACTCTCTGAATAACCCCTACTCTCTGTCTTCATCGAACCCCTTACATCCAGCACACAGTGATTTTCTTGGCCAACCTCCCAACTTTTGCCAGAAAGTCTCATATTTCACCCCTTTGCATTTAAATTGCACTTTTCCCTTACTGACCAATTTAACATTAACATCGCCTTCCCTCCCTGATCACAGGATGAAGGGATTCTCCTTTCTCTGAATGCCTACATAGCACACTCTAATGGCATGTATCACCCTCCATCTTGCATTGACTTATTTATACACATGCATTCATTTACAGTTGACTTGAAAACAAAACTTTGGGGAAAGTTGTGCAGGTTCTAGTGTCAAAAAAAAGGAATATAGTCTTCTGATGAAAATATAATAAGTCTTCAAACAAAAAAGTATAGTATATCAAACATGATAATGGATGTTAAATAACCCTGAGAGGTCAGATGAAGATTGGCCTAGATCTGTCCAGAGACTCTCAGGGGAGTGCTTGAATTCCAATATAAAATATAGATAGGTGTGAAGTTGCCAGGTGGAGAGACTGTGTGTGCTGAAGGGGTGAGAGAGTGAGGGTTGGTGGAGTAGAAGCAGACAGCACAGTTGGAAAGCTTGGGGTTAGAAAAGAGACAGACACATGAGAAAGTAAGACATGTTTGAGGAAAGACAAGTTATTTATTTTGACTAAGCAGGATATGCTGAGTGAGTAGCTACAGAAAAGACTGGTCAGGCGGTCAGGGAATAGATTTTCCCTTGCTAAAGTGTTTGGAGATCATCCTGGTAGCAGTAGAGGACCCCTGAGGGCTTTTGATTAGGGAATTATAAGATTGTGGGTTGTACTTGGCAGTGGAGTGCAGGAAGGATCAGGGACACGAAGATACTGTAGGCAACCTCATGGGGGATTGATGTCAGATGCATCTTGGTATTTTCTGATTGTGCTTAGTATAGTGCCAGGCACATGGTTTATATAAAAATTGTATTATTTGTTCAAGAAATGTAAGAAAATGAGGTGTCCATGTTTAGACTAGAACACAAATGGAAAGGGAGGGCTCTTTACAGTTCATACCTCACCTGTATTACTCAGATCACACAGATACAGGGCATTTTCCAGCTTTCTGAACCTGTCAATCCACGTCTCACATTCTTCAGAGTGGTTCTTCATGGCCCGATTGAGGAAGGGCTGGGAGACTGGCCGGATCTTCAAACTGCTTGGAGGATCTTTGGGGGTTGGAGTCTCAGCAGGAGGGTTTCCTGGATTCAGCTTCTCTTCTGGAGTTTTCTACCAAAATAATGCAAGCATCTCACTGGCAGCACATTCACCACCCAGAGCTTCTCCAGTCTCTTGGCCAAAGATGAGGCCACACAACTAGGAAGATTTATTGCAAGGTCTGGCTTTGGAAAGCAAGGATGAGTTTCAAATCCTCACTACCATAGGGCCATATCTGCCAAGTTTTGCTGGATGCAAACATGGTTGAGTTTTTTTTTTTTTTTTTTTTTTGAGAAGGTGACATCATCACTTTTATTCAGTTTTCATTTTAGACTTACACAAAGCAAAGAACTGTATAAGTAACTGGCTGAGACTTTTCCTTGAGGTTCTATTCTAATAGTGAAGGCAGAATTACACAGGCAGTCAGTATAGATAAGTCAATCGAGTCAGGTCAGATCAAGGAGGCCAATGTGAGTGAGTCTAGGAATTTGGAGACTGCCCCAAGAGGGACTGAAATGTCTTCAGAGCCCTTCCTCCACCCTATGAAGATAACATGCCCCTGCTCCAATATGATGCTAAGGTAACTTGTCCTAGGAATTGCCCCCCGCTCCCACATTGAGTTGTAAAAGTTGTTAATTAAAGTGTCCTGGGCTGCTCCATCCTGCCCTTCCCCCTTCAACCCACCTGTTTCCCACCTTTTGGCCATCCCACCGAGCATCTCCAGAGCTTTGTCACATACACAGGAAGGAGAAAGATAAGGGGAAGAGAGAGGAGAGCAAAGGATTTGCAAGAGAGTGTTTCCAGGAAAAACAGAGCTGGTCATATCAAACTCTCCCTATGTGGAAGGTGGTGTTAGGAAGTCTTAAATGGCAATGTTTGGATCCATTTGTCTATTTCATTCTAAACACATCTCTATTTTGTACTGGACATAGGATTAGGATACCTAGGTTAACTCACCTCCATGTCTGTTTATAGTCTTGGGTCTACCCTAAGATCTAGGCAATCTCAGTAATTGCCTATAAAAAACATATAAAAAAGGGCAGAATGTCTTGCTTCTCAGGATAACAGGATACCAGTTATGGTCCCCTTCTCCCTTCTGGGAGAGGTCTTTGTTACCCCTTTTTAATAAACCCTGCTTTATATGCTTGCCTTGGCATGCTTCTCTAATGTTATTTACGTCAACATGTGAGGAAGCAGAACTCATCACTGGTAACTGGAGGTATCAATAGTACTACTAGTAGGATCTACTGAGGATAGGTTTCTGGCAAAGCTTAAATTTTCTTCTGGATTCTGAGTGTGACATTTTTTGGCAAAAAGTGACTGAAGCAATAGTGATATTATCCTAGGCTTACCAGGCCCCTTGAAGGTCTATTAAAACACCTCTAGTCTGCTGGTCCTGTTCATTTAACACAGGAAGCTGAGGCCCAGAGAGTGCAAGTAAATTACTGAGATTGCCTAAGATCTTAGGGTAGACCCAAGACTATAAACAGACATGGAGGTAAGTTAACCTAGGTATTCTAATCCCATGTTCAGTACAAAATAGAGGTATGTTTAGAATGAAATAGACAAATGGATCCAAACATTGCCATTTAAGGCTTTCTAACACCACCTTCCACATAGGGAGAGTTTGATATGACCAGCTCTGTTTTTCCTGGAAATGCTCTCTTGCAAATCCACATAGTTGAGAGAGAATTACCACATTTCAGCTGCACAGTTCAGCACTGGGCATCTGGTGCAAAACAGGCAAATAGACCTATTGTTCAGGAGTTTGGGATCTATTTGTGAGAAGGAAAGATAAAGGGAGAAGCACAGATCATTCTGTGTGAGACCTTAAAACACTAGCAGATTTTCTCCCTGTGCATTGGAAATGAGAAAAAGCTGGTCAGTCAAGAAAGAGAAGATGAAGTTGACAGTAGAGAAAAGAAAAAAATGGGAAGTCTTAACTGTGTTCGAAACCCTGGTTTCATTTACTGTTGCATTGTTTTCCTTAGGTAATAAAATAAATTTCTCTAGCCTTCCAATTAATTAAATTTGTAAAGTTGGTTATATTCATTGTAATCCAAATAATTCTGATGCACCATAAAATTATACCTCTAATTTTTGAATACCATCTGTGTCCCGTAAACTTTCAAATGCCTGAATTTTTCCAATTTTGTAAGTTTGTCTTAAACTTCCCACATATAGGCTGCAAAAATTCCATACTCCTAAAGAATATTTATTGCAATAGGAATTACCAAGTCCTGCATTAACTAAGAAACACAAATTAAGCTGTTGCAGGGGTATTTAAAGAACCATTTTCTTTGAAATAATAGAACACAATACAAAATTACACCCACATGGATGACAAGAAGCCAGTAAGTTTTAAGGATTAATTAATATAAAATAAATCCTACAATGACAAAATCAATTTTTGGAAAAGTAGAATGTTTTCATACAGTAGATGACTGATTCTTACGCATTTTTAGAGCTGTGGACCACTTCATAAATCTTAAGAAAGATTTAGAAAATCTGCCCAAGTTAATGTATATTTGGTTATATTTTCATGGATGATTTTGGAGAGATCAAGGTGATCATGGATCTGAAAAATCCAAAAATTCTCTGATGTTAAATAGTTTTATATTTCTCTAGAGAGTTCAACTCTCTTTGACCATTAAAGAAAGGAGAAAGTGGAGATTTGTATGGACCTGAATTAAGCTCAAGTAACTAACTAACTAATAACTAACTAACAACTAACTAGCAACTAACGAACCAACATGCCCTATACCATTCTCATCCCACTGTGTCAGGATTCCTTGCTTTTGTCTCTCTACAGTGTTGGCCCCTCCTCCACCAGAGGTATATTGATGTATCCTCAAGGTCCTGGAGTGCCTGGCACTGAGTAGGTTCTCAAGGCATGTTTGATGACTGAATAAGTGAGGGAACGAATGAATGATTTTCTCTACGAAAATAGAAAAGTTGCTTTACCAACTCTGTGCTTTAGTTCTTCTTTAAAAAGTGGGACAATGAATGCTGCTCATACAAGAATGTGAGAAGAATCAATTATTTCAGATATGCCATAAAATCCTCATACAAGAGGCAAAATAAAAGAGCAAAATATATTTTTTACAACCTTATTCACAACAGACTTAACACTCAAGGAGAAAAGCATTTGCTGTTGTTTCCTGCATGGCAAGAGACTTGCCAAAATGATTCTGTTTTCTAAAATATTTCAACGTGTGAAGTGCATGAAGAGGCCTCCCGTCATTTTAAGATGAATTATGTTCTAATCCGGGCATTTAAAAAACAACAACAATAGAAAAACTCAGGCTGTTTTTCAATTCTACAACATCTCCTGGCTAAATGCTGGGAATATTAAAATGGATTTTAACTGCTTGCCAGATTTTCTTTTTTTCTTTTTTTTTTTTTTAAATCAGAGAGCCTGCTATATTTTAAAATGTGATGCCTGAGGAAAAGGTCACCATCAGTTTCTGGAAGCTGGACTTGAGATGTTAAAATAGGTCTCATCTCTATCCTTTGTTTTGATGGCAATTGGTGGATGGGCCACAAGCTTTGGGAGAACTCTTGCACATAGGCAATGGGTGTAATTTCTTGGGGTTGGTGGCAAACTCTTTAACTACTGATGGCGAAGGTTTCTGGCAAACTGGAAAGGAGGTGACCACACTCTTGGAGTTCCTCTGCCTTTCTTCTCTGCCTGAGAAGTCTGGGAGTCAGTCTGACATCAAGAGATTGGGTGGAAATCAGAAACCCACAGGCGAGGCCCCTCCAACATCAGAGAAGGGAAGATGAGGACCTTCCCCACGCATGCTCTGTGTACCCCAGGTGCATACCATATGTTCAGCTTTGCTTTGAGATATCTCAGAGACTTCAGGCTGCTCTGGAATGGCAGGGACTTCCTTTTCATTCTTTCCTAAACAAGAAACAATAACAGGAAGGGTTTGGTTTGATCTTCATTTAACACACTCACATAGACACCAGGCCAAAAAAAAAAAAATACTGAGGCTCTGTGTGTGGCTGGCACTGTGTTAGGTGATGGGGACACATTATGAATGAAAATCTGGTTCCCACCCTGATGCACCTCAGACCAGGAGGGATGCCAAATAATTACTCAAAATTGTTATTTAACTGCAAGCTACCATAAATAATTCAAAAGACAAATATGGGCACTTATTTTAGAGCAATGGCAGGAGAGGTGGGGGTCAGAGATGGCTTTTTGGAAAAAGTGACACAAATTGTCAACCTGAGGGATGAGTAGATGTCATCTAGACCAAGGTTGTGCTCATGGTGCCTATGGAGCAGAGAGTTCCAGAGCAGTTGAGACAACAGCTTGCAGAAAGGCCACTTAATCAGAAAGGCTGGTCTCACTTAGGGAGTGGTGAGGGGCTTCTTCCTGTGAGCCTGTCTCTTAAGAATCAAGCACTTCCACCACTCTTTCCTTGTAGGTAGGCACCTGAAAGGTCAGGCACAGACTTCTCTGCTCCCTTCAATGGCCTCAGCCTTATATAGAACGAGGTGTGAACAGTGACCCTCACCCAGGGCATTCTACTGGGTACTCCTCCCTGCAGCCTGCTGCCTTCATGAACAGGCTTCCTTCAGATGCCAGAAAGACCTGCTGCTGGGTTCACCAGGGCTTCCTGCAGACACCACGCATTCATCACTCAGCACCTTCCATCTGACTTGGTGACTTGCTTACGTTGCTAATCCCTGTGGTGACCACTCAGCACAGATTTCTGGGAGCCTCAACTTCAATATTCAGTTCATAATTCAAGTATGCCATTAAATATGTATTATTTCTGAGTTGGGTCTCATTATTTTCAATAAACTTATCCTATGAATAAATATTAAAGTTAGGAGGAGGCAAATAACACAGGGGTTGAGAGCATAGGCTCTGAGGCCAGATAACCTTTCTTTATTAGCTACATGACCTGGGGCAAGCTGCTTGTGCCTCAGCTGCTGTTTCTGTAAAATGGAGGTAATGAGACCTACAGGTTATTGACAGGATTGAATTGGATTACAAAGTGTAAAGCAAGTACCCGGACTATAGCAAGGGATCAATAAAGGTAAGTAATAGTGCTATCTAGGTAAGGATGTTTTCATAAATCAATTAACAGATCAGATTTAAAACACTTTTGTTAGACTTTTAACATTGCAACCATGAATCATTATGAATCTTCTTCAGTTTCTTGATGGAGAAGACAATGTAATTTCATATTATTCTCTGAAAGCCCAGACCCCAGCATTAGAATAAGTATTCAAAGCATGCTTGTTGAATAACGGAATAATCATATATTCTTTGTTTGGAATTTGGAAAAGAGTGTGACATATGTATCAGGATATATATATATATATATATATATATATATATATATATATATATATATATTCTTTGTTTGGTTCTCCAATTCCTTTCTTATCCTTGAAGAGGAGAGAATTTTCTTGCATTTTTTCACTCTCCCATACCTAATGTGGAAGCCATATATGGTAAGCCTTAATAGAAGCTTAGCAAGCATCATGATGGTAGCCAGTAAGGGCAGCACCTTCCAGGCAGATCTTATTTGATATGTTGAAAATTTAAGTTGTCATGGGAACCCACATCACCTAGTACACTGGCCCCAGCTCATTTCACCCAGAATATGAAAGAAAAGCTTTCTGTTTATTGCAGGGTAAAAGGTTCAAATTACTCCAAATCATGGAGTTAGATGGTTAAAGGGATTCTAGAAGCTGTATATAGCATGAACAGGCAGGAATATGAATTTCAGGGTTAGACAAACCTAAACATCAACCCTGATTTTTTCCTTTACCAGCTATAGGATATCAGATCAGTTCTTTCATTTGTGAAATTATAGTCATTGTGAGATAGAAACTATTTACATAAAATACTTAACCCATTGAAGATGCTCAAAATACAGGGTCTTATTTGTTGTTGTGTTATTACCGGCCTTAAGCCAATCTAATTCCCCCAGAGAAGAGGACCTATTATTGATTACAATATACCAGAACTTTTTCTGGACATTGATCATTGAATTGTCTTCTTAAAGAATAAGATCTAGAACCTCGACTTTGTCCCAGTCTGGTTCTTCTCTTCTGTCTGCACTTTTCAAAATTTCCATTAAGAGAAAATACAGTGCTCCTCTACTTGGTTTCTTTTAAGCTGCCCCTTTTCCTCCCTTGTAGCTAATAGCATATAAAAAGGTAATGGTTTGCATATGTAAAAATTGTTTGAAAGGCCTGAGGCAGAGCTCTATTTTTTTCCCTTTCCTTTTTTTTTTTTAAGCACAGCAGGAAGGATAAATAATAACCATCTGTCTAGTCTGCCAGTTGAAGATTTGTATTGGAGGAAATAAGCCAAGCTGGCTTCTAGAGATTTCCAGGTGTGGGAAGGGCCAGGTTTTACAGGGCTTCCAGTGGATTCTGATGGTTACACAGCCAGCCCTCCTGTCTGCCCCCACTAATGACTTGAAATCAGTGGTCTTCAGAAAAGGCTGCATGTTAGAGCCACCTGGGGAGCTTTAAAACTTACTAGTGCTCAGGTGTCACACCAGACCAATTAAATCACAAACGTGGGGGATGTGGGGGTGGGGAGGGGGGGGAAGAGACCCACTTCAGCAGTTTAAAAAAAAAATCCCCTAGATGATTCTAAAGTGAAACCAGGGTAGAGGATTACTGATTTAAAACAAAGGCTATTGGCCTCATTGGATTTACTGAATGAAGATTTTGTGAGAAGGAAGCTAATATGGGTCAAATATCTATAAAGGACAGTCATTTCCCATATTATCTAAAGAATAACCTGTGAGGTAGAAATTATCCCCATTTGACAGACCAAGAGTAGATGAAAGCCTATGTTTCCAACTCATTCATTCATTCATTCTGAGAATATGTGTTAGGTGCTTTCTAAAGGCTAGGCATTGTCCTAGGTACTATGTCAAAACACTGACCAGGAAAGAGTCCTTTCAAAGTGAGTGCATTCTTGTAATGAGGGCAAACAGACACACACACAAAAATCAATGCCAGGTCTGATTAAGTGCTGTAAACATGATGTCAGTTATGGGGGTGGCAATTACTAACTTGATAGGGAATTCACCCAAGGCCTTTGAAGAGGTGATAATTAAGTAGAACCCTGAGCAGAGGGGAGTCAAGGGAGCAAGTAAGAAAAATATCTGGGGAAAGTGCATTTGAGGAAAATGTTACAGCAAATACGAAGGCCTCGAGGCAAGAGTGCTTAGGCAGAACAAGAAGGGAAGAAAAGTGGGTTAAGTGTTCATGGAACTAAAGGGTATCATGGGCCATGTCATGTGACTAAAGTTTTATTTATTTTTTTTTCTTTCCAGCATTCATTTCTTCCCTGGTGATTCTCCCTTTACTACCTCCTCTGGCAAAAGCAACTGTATTTTGTTTTGTGGGGCTCACTCTTCCCTCTTTACAGTGTGCATTGTGGTTTAGTAGGGTTGACCTCCAGTTCCAATTCTAAGCTTGGTCTCTGACTAATTTAAGTTTGTCATTGTACCCTCATATCCCTCATATCAATTTTGGTTCTAAGATGGGCATAAAACTCAATCTGAGCTTCTGGATGGAGAGAAGATAACTGCTGCTTATAGATAGTAAAGGTTCCTCCACCTTGGCAGCACCTACCAAAATAGTGCTGTGTCATAGCAACCTTAGCTTTTCTGTTATTGTGAAAGGAGTGCTTGGAGTAGTCAGGGGAGTGTCACATGAAGCCCAAAGATGATGCCCACACCAGGTAAAGCAGAACAGAGAACCCAAAGAAGGAAAGCACATTGCTAATGTGGACATTTGAATGGCTAGATCAAAGATCTTGCTGCTATGAGACATTTCAGCCAAATAATCCACTATATCTTTATTGGGTAAACCAAGTGAGTTGGCTTTTATATCCCTTTAATGTAAATAGTTGTAACTAGTAATTATATGGATTTCTTTCCTTAATAAAACAGAGGCCAATTTGTCACCATTTTTATGTTTTCTGTCTATAGTGATAAGTTTTTATGCATGTTGGAGGGAACTCAATGAACCTTTGTGGCTACTTTTCATTCCCCCCAAATTTTCCCCTCCAAGTTTTTTCAGTTTGACTCCTTGCTTACATATTCTCCTTCTTTGCTTCCTCACTCAGTCTCTGAAATGAGGAGATTCAAATTTGGAGCCATACATAATTTTTGGGAAATACCTTTGATCTTAGACCATACCATGTTTGGTGGATCCTAAACTCTTTTTTTTTTTTTTTTCTTAATGGGAGTTCATAGCATTTCTTGGATCTGTGGCTTGAGATCTTTCATCACTTTTGGAAATTTCTCCTAATTTCCTCAAGTATTGCTTTAGATCTATTCTCTTCCTCTTGCGCTTCTATGATTTCAGTTATATGTATGTTGGATAGTGTCACCATTCCCTAGATATCTCTTACATATTTTTTTCATATATTCCATATTTATTTCTTATTGATATTTCAATTTGGATATTTTCTACTGAACTATATTTTAATTAACTAATCTGTCTTCAGCTTTGTCCAATCTTCTCTTAACCTCTTTGAGTTTTAAAAATATAGTTTTAATATTTTTCAGTTTATATAGTCCATTCAATTCCTTTTGTAGGTTCTAAAATTCTTTGTTGAAAATTCTCCATTTTTCATTCATTTTCTTGAACATAATTAATTACAGTTATTTCAAAATCTGTTTTCTGCTTGCATTGTTACTGATATTTGTAAATAGAAACTGAAAACTCCATATGAAACACACAGAGCTTTAGTGTAATGTTTCTTCTTGATTCCTACAAAGGATCAAGAGGACCTTTTCATCCTTCTGTTTGGTAGTTTAATTTGAATTCCAAGTAAAAGGCTTCAAACAAATATTCTTATGTATTTTTATTTAATCTTCTAGTTGTTCTTGCCAAGAGATTTGGTCAGCGGCTAATTAGTCTAATCTTGTCATTAGTGCAAATCACTGATATCGAGTATTTATGTGGAAATCATATATGTACATTAAAGAATAAGGGTGCAGGATTTTTATGATAACAAAGGAGATGAAGTTTATAATAAAAGGCAGCATATATAAAATGAGTAATTTTGACCAAGTTATCATAGCACCTTTGAGTCAAAAGAAGAAAATGTACAATTTTATATACACCTAATGAGTAAGTTTCTTTTTTGTATGATCCTCTTCCCTTTTAAAACATTTGCTTGTGGGCAAGAGAACATACAAATAAAGTGGCTCACTCCGTACTTCAGAACACTTAACAATCTTAGTCCTAATGATATAGAAATGGGAAGAGACCAAGATATTAACTTAGTAGGCAGTAAACTATCACACAAAGTGACAACAGCAACATCACCTCAACAACCTTGTTGCTCTGGAGAGTCTCACATGGACTAAAGGGTTAGGAAGCTGGCATGTGCCTGTAATTGCAATGGCTCAGGAGGCTGAGCAACAGGATTATAAGTTCGAAGCCAGCCTCAGCAACTTAGCAAGGCCCTGAGCCCCGTCTCTAAATAAAAACACGAAAAAGGCTGGGGATATGGCTCAGTGGTTAAGTGCTCCTGGGTTCAATTCCCAGTACCAGAAAAAAAAAAATGATATATTGCCTATGTTGTTTATCCGACTCACAGTCACTCTGTCAGATCAGCAGAACAGGTTTTCTTTCTTCCCTGCCCTTTTCCTTACTTCCCCCCCTTTCTCTCTCTCCTTCCCTTCCTTCCTTCTTTCTTAATTTCTCTTTCTCAGTTTTAGAGATGAGAAAAAAATAAGTTGGAGTGAAGTAAAACAAGTGACCCAAACAAGGTGATTTAGTTGCAAAAGTGATACTTCAACCTGTATTTTACATACTATCCAGCTATGCTATGTGCTATGAGCTAAGTTGTGTTACCCAACATTTATGTATTGAAGTCCTAATGCCCAGTACTTTGGAATGTGACTGTGTTTGGAGACAGTGTCTTTAAAGAGTTGAATAAATTTAAATGAGACTGTTAAGGTAGGTCCCAATCTAATTTGACTGGGTATTCTTATGAGAAGAGGAAATCTGGACGCCGAGAGACACCAGGGATGTACCCACACAGAGGCCATGTGTGGATACAGCAAGAATCTGTCCAGAATTGGGGCGTGGTTTTAAATATTCTTAGCACTAGCTATGTGTGAAACCTCAGAGGTTAGGTTAACAGCCACAGGCATCCCTTCAGTAGCCTCTGTATCCCTTCAGTAGACTATATATATTGACTGTATAGTTTTTTTATTTCTTTGAATTGTTTTTAATAAATAATCAGGTAGTTTGTAGAACAACAGGTATACTAACCCTGAGATTAAACGCAAGGAAACAAACAAAGTGTTTTATAAGAGATTCGAGCACAGCCACCTTCTTAGAGGTTTGAACTCCAAACCAAGTGAAACTTTTAGAACCAGCTGTATGTCACCTCTGAAATCCTTTCTCCAGGTTACTTGGCATTTTCTTAGATCCTGTGTAGGGGCACTAGTTCCTAGATTTTGATGTAGTGTGCATTTCTCTTTGTTCTTTCAGCCTGAAGGGTGAAGCTGCTTTCTACAGTTACTAAGGTCGGGATTACCTCATTGTGGTGGATTGAATTTGTCCCCAAAGAATAGCCATGTCCTCTCCACCGGTACCTGTGGATCTGCCTTTAGTTGAAAATAGCCTTTGTGAATGTAAACAAGTTGAAATCATTCTAGATTAGTGTGGGCGTGAAATTCAATGACTGGTGTCTTTATAAGAGACAAAAGAGGGATATTTGGATACAGAGACCTAGAAGTAAAATGAACAAAGCTATGTAAAGACATGGACCAAGATTGGAGTTACACAGTAACAAGCCAAGAGAGGCCTGGGACCACTGGAAATTGAAAGGGGCAAGAAAAGACTCTTTCCTAGAATCTTTGGAGGGGGCATGGATCTAATAACACCTTAATGCTCTAGTCTTCAGAACTGTGTGAGAAGATATATCTGTTTTTTCTGCAATTTGTTACAGCAGCTTGGAAAAATGAATACATTATTCATTCCCTTTTTTATTCTTTCAGCCTGTGATATTCATATAACCAGTCCCCTGTAATGAATCCCTCTGATTGAAATACCTATTAAATTTTCTGCTTTTCTACTTGGATGCAGACTGATATATTCATTCTCTCTCTTTCTCTCTCCCCACCCCCCTTATATTTTGATTCAAAGGCAGTCTGTAAGTATTTGATGGTTGTAGTAAATAGAAAAACTACAACAGTGGATTGATATCAATGTAAATTTTTTTCACCTGTCATATTTAAAACTTGCAAATTGCTAAATATTTTGCCCAGTTCATTTTGATAAATTCACTTAGTAATATGTCTTGGAAATCTTCCTGTAGCTGTTTGGTAATATAATTTTACAATTACTTAATTTTATCAGTTGGTTGTATTGTGATCTAACTAAATGGTCCCCAAAGGATCATTTGACTTTTTCCATTGAAAAAATTACCAAAAAACACTGTACTAGATACACACACACACATGTACACACACATACAAACATATATTTTGAATTTTTTTAATTGAGACAAGTAGAATAAATACCTGGCAGTAGGATTCCTAGATCAAAGGTACTATGCCACTGATATTTAATAATACCAACTTATTCTGTAAGTGTGCTGCACTCATCTTAAAGGGCTACCACTAGAGTATGCCTTGTGATAAAACTTGAAGAATTATTCCTTTTATAACCCAACTGGCCTAAAAGAATATGCAATAAGGCAATTCCCACTCCTATTTTTCCTTCATTGATGAGCCATCTACATTTCTGGGAGGAATGAAACAAAGCCCAGAGAGTAAACCACTCATGCTAAGCAGCATTATTAACAATAGTGCTGGTCTCAGGAGCAGCAAAATTATGGAACTCACCTGGAGGCAAACCAGACAACAAATCAGAAGAAGCTCTGCTCAGCAACTCAACAAAATTCTGCCATCTGTGTAAGAAAAAGAAACATAATATTGCTGATCAATATCGTTGCCCTGGAAGTATATGCAGCAAAGCACTAAATTTATACTGGTTGGTAGAGTGATGTTGAAAGAACTTTTTGATACCTGTGTCATTCCTGGTTCAATGTAGGAAATAAACTAATTTATTTCTATTAGAAAGTATAGGGAATTGAGTTCCCCACCATCCCAATCATTGCAAGGCTAGGATATCATAGATTGCTAAGAATTGGGTCAGGACTCAGAAAATGTGGTTCAAAGATTGAGGAACCACAGGACAATCTGGCTGATGTCTCAGTTGCTGCTAGTCATGAAGTTGATGACTGTAGTACCAGGTATATTCTGGCCACTGGAAAAACTATGTTGATACACTATAAGAAAGTAAATACCTAAACTGGCTCTGCACCTCTATCCCTCCTCCCCCTCTTCTGCCTCTTAAATCTTATCTAATTGTATTTCATTAAATAAGTTAGATCAATTTTGAAGTCTTTGTGTCAAGGGGATTCCAGAAATGTTGAAATGTTCCTTTTGGCCTTCAGGATTATGGAAGAACTGCAACACAGAAGAGGATGGAGAAAGGTGTTAGGGGAGAGATAAAGGGGACAGATAAATATTATCTAGTAGGTGATATTTAGTAAATTGCCCAAGATGAAATTGCATTGGGCAATATGTCTGAAAGTGTCAATCAAGTAGTTATTAAAAGCTTAAAAGTACTCCAGCAAAGCTTTGGTAGAAGAGACCACTAATATGTGTTTGCTGTTATGGTTTAGATATGAGGTGCCCCCCAAAAGCTCATGTGTGAGACAATGCAAGAAGGCTTAGACTAGGTGAAATGATTGGGTTATAAAAGTCTTAATCCTATTAGTGAATTAATTCTCTGATAGGAATTAACTTGATGGTAATTGTAGGCAGGTAGGATGTGGCTGGAAGATGTTGGTCCCTGGGGGCTTGCCTTTGGGATATATATTTTGTCGTCGTTAAGTGGAACTCTCTCTCTCTCTGCTCTCTGGCACCATGTTCCTAGCTCTGCCACAAACTTCTTCCATGATGCTCTACTTCATCCCAGGTCCTGAGTAATGAAGTTAACAATCATGGACTGAGACCTCTGAAATAGTCAGTCCCCAAAACCTTTTTGTTCTTGTTCTTTCAGAATTTTTGGCCACAATAGTGAAAAAGCTGACTAAAACGTTTGCCTAATACCACCCTCTATTTAAATATAAATATGCTCTTCTTTGGAGTAATAAGCACCCACTTTCCTGCACATATTATGGTTAGGACTATATTTAAAGTCTCATATCCTGCTTCAGCCAGTGTTCAGACGGACCTTTTCTAATTAATCTCAATCTGTCTATCACTTACACTATAACTTCCCTTCTCCCCTCTCTTTTTTTCCCCCTCTGTCTCAATCTCTGTCTTAAATTTTTGGTTTTGGTCCTTCTTGAAGGTTTATTTTTTCTTCAGTTTTCTGAATTAATATTCTTTAAAAATAGTCTTTTTTTTTTTTTTTTTTTTTTTTGCTAGTGTTAGCAAAAGACAGGTTTTCTTGCTAGGTACCAAATTGCAAATAATATTAATTCTGATCTTTGTCTTGCCTATCATAAGAAGTTCAGCAAAAATAAAGAGGGAGTTTTGAAATACTTGTTCTGGGTTTTCTCAAAACGTTCTAATGTCATGTGATTTTATTCTATTTATATAAAAATGATTTCTTAAATATGTACCTAATTCATTTTGTTTTCCATCATAAAACTTTTTCTATACACAATATCATGAGTCAGAAACATTCTTTGGTCAATATATGTGCTCTGATAAGAGTTTTAGAAACGTGTCCTTCAGAGCTTCACGTCAGGTGTGGTGTACAGTGTGGCAAGTCAGATAAGCTGGTGACTTTACCAGCTGCTACAGGTCTAGGAAGGTAAAAGAAAATTGGAAAAGAAGTAGCACTCTCTAACACTGATAATCATATAGAGATATGACATTAGCACAGTTCTGGAAATAAATTGCAAAGAAGCATTTCCTGTTATCTGCTCTCCTTATAATGGCTTTCTAGACCCTCTTAGGAAGACTAGGGCTTATGCCAAGAGCATCTTCCCATCCTTTGATAACAAAGCTCAACAACCCAACGCCTAGGTCCATTAACACTCGCACACGTCCTATTGTTCTCAGGGTTGTCAGGAGCTATCAGGTAGTGATCTTCTAGATGTCATATATGAGGTAAGGTCCTTGGATAAAATGGCACCACAAACTCTCTTGCTCCTTCTTAATCATATGCTAAGAGTGGGGTAAGAAGATTTGGGGAAATTTTCAAAGTACTGAAGTTGAGCATCGTCTTATTTAAATGACATATAAAGACTTATGTGACTACTAACATTCTAAAGAGCCTTCCAGTAAAATATTCCCTTTCTCTCCATGTTTTTTCCATTACTCCAAGACCTTCAAAGAGACACTCATGATTTAAATGGGTTTATGGGTTCCACTGTCAGGAGGAGTGACAGTGTCAAGTCCCCACTGATAGTGTCAAGTCAGAGAGGTTGGGACTGGAGAATAAGGCCTGTGAGCCTAGTTCTAGATTCAGGTAAACATGAGTTCAAACTCTAAGTGAGTTTGTCAAGTTAACAACAGCGTTTAGCGAGTGATCCAAGTACATTCTGTTCATTATTTCATTCAATGGAGATAGCCACCCTATGAGATAAGTAAATGACTTGACCAAGAACACATGGATTGCAGGGGCATCCAGGATTACACCCTGGCTGTTTGACTCCAAATCCACATGGATTTATGCAATTTGGCTTCAGTTACATGTTTTTACTCTTTGAAATTTCATGGGTGTGGCTTTAGTATTTTCTAAAATTTATTATTGCAGAAGTCTATCTGAGGTCAGCCAGATTTTTGTCCATTGATAATTATATTTTTTCCCATTATTTGCTGTAGTTTAGTTTTATTCTGTTTTTGGCCAGGATCTTTGACTTATTTTCTTTGTCTTAATAATACAAAAGTTTTATTGGGATAGACATGGGTACATTTTTTTCTTCCATAATTTCTCAGAGTTCATGGTGAGACCTTCAATCTGTATACTTTTTTTTTTTCCAGCAGTTTTCAAAATTTTTCAGTTGTGGTCATGGTTTGAGTGGGTCCCCCAAGGATTTGTATGCTGGAATCTGGGTCCTCAGTGTGGAGGTGCTGAAGCAGTAGAACTCTAAGGGGTGGAACCTAGTGGAAGGGGATTAGGTTAACTGGGGGCATCTCCTTTGGAAGTGATGTATAGCTCTGGGAATCTGGTTAATTTCCTCGAGAGTGCGTTGTTCTAAGACTGTCCTCCTCACTCCTTGACCTTTGTTCTCACCATGTGTCCTCTTGCTTTCACAAATATTCCCACAATGATGCCATCTGCTATGATACAGCCAAGAGCCCCCCACACACACACACCAGAGGCCCAACAGAGGAGGCAGTCTGATCTTGAACTTTCACCTTCTAATACTGCTGGCTCAATAAGCCGTTTTTCTTTATGAAGTACCCAAATTCAGATATTTTGTGATAGCAACAGAAAATGAACTAATGTAATTGAGTTTCATTTTTATTTTTTCTCCAATTTTTTTAAATTCCCTTTTCCACAATACCAAGTCCTCTTAGGTTGCATCTCTACTATTCTCATTTTATATCTACTATTCTCTCCCGTTTCCTTCTCTTTCTTTTTCTTCCCTACCTTTTGCAGAAGTCCCTTAAGTTTGACATTACACATTTTCCTCTAGTGTTAATTTCACTTCTTATTGATTCCTGGTTACCTTTTAATTTGCCTAGAGAAGCTTTAGCTTCCTTGATACCATCTGTATTTCCCCAAATTCTTTCTAATTTCTTCTGTTCATTTTTTGTGCTTTTTAAATTTGATTTTTATAGATCTTAAAAATCTCATTATACTTATTACTTTTTAATTCAATTCCATAGAGACAACGGCTTCTTATATACTGCATAGAATCACTGTGCTTTCCTAAATTATTTTTCTAATTTCTAGAGTAGATCATTTCTAAGCTTGGTTGAGATTTGGAGACTGCAGGATGATGATTCCCTTTCACATTCTGCGGTATTTTCTTAAATGTTGGTGTTTTTTCTTTACTGGGCTTCGAATGAGGATCTCCTCACATTCACTGTGACCCACAGTTAAGCTGTCTTGCTTTCCTGTGACTGTGTTCCCTGCTCACTTGAACCTCCAGTCAAGGATAGAAGGCAACCCCATTCCATACTGATTTCTCTTAGTCACTCGCCTCATGCACCTTGGTAGAATGGAGGTGGGATCTTTTCACCACATTCGTTGAGTACCAGACACTTCAGATTGGTGCAGTATGTCGTATTTTATATACCTATTAGTGTAAACAACTACAGCGGTCTCCTTTTCTCCATTCTAACTCCCATGACTTAATTTTCAGGAATTATACTTCACCACGTGCAAACACCATACATAACCTGGGTTTCCTTTCTCTCCTTGCTCATCTTAACTTTTTGCTCTGTCGTTTTGGGGAGTCATACAGGATATATCTGTATCTCTGAATAGGTACAGAAAAGTGATGTGTGGGTAAATACACAGGTGTGTTTCTTTGGGCAGGGAGGGGCGGGGAAGGAGAAGCAGGGAACAGAAGAACTCAGACTGCTACTATAAACAGCGCCTTTGCAATTTTCTAGTTGGCTAAGACTTGTGGTCTCCAAACCAAAGGGAAGGCCATGGTGAAGGGAGAAAGTATCTTCCACACTTCTTAGAGGCAAGCAGGGTGAAGTGTGGGGCAGGCAACTCATTGATTTTCCCACATTGCAGAAACTCATAGAGGAGGTTCCTGCTAGATCCTGACACTAGAGTTCCTGTTAGTGAGTTTTTCTGCTTATGTGTTTTGGGCCTTTTTCTTTCTTTGTAGGAATTTTTGTCAGGTGCTGTTAAGCAGATGCCTTTTGATAAAAAAAGCCTTGTATGAATAAACAAAACAAACCTAAATATACTAAGCACACA